CCCTAAACCCTCAAATCCTAAATCTTGAGCCCCAAACCCTCAAAACCTAATCCTAAATCCAAAGCCCTCAAAAGCCTAAATCCTAAATCCAAAGCCCTCCAAAGCCCCTGTTTTGATTCTCCAGGCCGCTGCCAGCCGCGCGGAGGAACGGAAGCGTCGAGTGCAGCAGGCCCAAAAGCGGCCTGGAGCCCAACGTGGAATGGGTTCAATGCTAGTTGACTTAAGGGATCTATGAAGGTTCCTATCAAGGGATCTATAAGGTTCCTATAAGGGCTCTAGAAGGGCTCTACTTTGAGGTTCATGGGTAGTTTTTAAGTGAGGGTTATAAGTGAGCTAACTATACTTATAGCCCATATTAGGGGAATTTGTGCCCCAACGTGGAATGGTACTGTTGATGATATATATCCTGCATTACCTTAAGGACCCTAAACTGGCATGGTCCTTATTATGGGTAATGCAGGGTTTATATCATCAACCGCAGGGAAGGGAGGGTTTAGGGTTTGGGGATTAGGGAAGGTAGGGTGTTAGGGCTTAGGCTTTTTGGGTTGAGGGTTGTAGGGTTTAGGGCTTAGGGTGTTGGGCCCTTAGGGTTTTAAAGGGTTTAGGGTTTTAGAGTTTAGAGTTGTTTAGGGTCTTAGGGTTTAGGGCTTAGGGTTCAGGGCCCAGGATTTCCAGGATCTAGAGTTTCAAGTTTTTGGTTGAGGGTCCCAAGGAGTAAGGGGCTGAGGGTGCAGGGTTTTCGGCTTCATTCCGGGGTAGAAGCCCCTAACGACAAGGTGCATGGGTTTTCGATGAAGCTCTTTGCTTTTTGGGTCTAGGGTGTAGTTTTTTGGCTCTAGTTCTTGAGGGCTGGCTTGGGAATGTGCATCGTCATTCCACTGTCGCCGGTGTGGTTAACTTGATCGACTTGTTGAACAAAGGACACGCGCCCCAATGTAGAAACTTCCTGAATGCTTAAACCCCAATTCCCGAAGAAATGGGCAAGCAGATGTCGAAGCCTGTGAACTTCTGTCGCGCATCCAAGTGCCAACTCCATCGACTGCTAAGCTCTTCTCTCTAACTCCAACGAACCAAGCCCCACCCAGAATCATGAGGTCAGCTGAGAAAAGCGACGCCAAGCGCAAGAAAGCGGAGCACAGCTGCCGGTGGAAGTGGCTCAACCGGAAGGACACGGCTTCCGCAGATTTTGGGGTTTAGAGGACGAGCCCTGCGCATGATTCTAGCCTTGTGGCTTCGGGCTAAGGGTTTACGGCGTGTTTAAACTGATGCAATCCTGATCAGAGACTGAGTATGTATGTATGTATGTATGTATGTATGTATTTATGTATGTATGTATGTATGTATGTATTTATGTATGTAAGTGTGTACGTATGCATGCATGTATGTACGTATGTACGCATGTATGTACGTATGTAAGCACGTATTGTATGCACGTATGCAGTACACTAGTCATTATGTGTTTGTATAAAGGTGCGTGTGTGTGTGTGTGCAGATTTTGTCAGCACGGAAATTCCAAATCTAAGCACCGACACACATACATCATTGTACAATCGTTCATATGCGTAAGATGTGTGCTATTGTATAAGGTGTTTCGCATATTTGTTTGTGTTGTATGTAGACGTACATGCCTATATGCCAGTGCATACTTGACAGGCTATGCCCATGTATACGAGCACCTAGATCGAGCACACACGCTTATAATATCTATGTGTGAATCTGTACCTATACACGCACATACATACATATATATATATATACATACATAGATACATGGACAGTCTCAGGTATGTGTTCTGCAAGTACTTGATAAGTAGCTTGGGGAACATACTTCATGGTCGATAACTGAGACTTCCACGCGTGCAACACACTAGCTGTATGGATCGGTGTCTGTACATAATAGACGATTGTGTGCATGTATAGATATACATGACTCTCTCTTTATTTTTCCACCCATGTTGCACATGTGCTTTTGTCTATACATGCATCCATAATCTGCAACTTACTTCCGACATGCACTAGTGCTTCTTCGGGTTTCTAACCAGTCCAAGGAAGCACTGGTACATGTCGAGATTAGTAGCAGTAGCCAGTATTCCCACGAAATCAGCTCAAGATTGTTGTTGTAGGGTTTGCGAAACCGCTTTTGCTGCGGCTTGGTCGAGGACATCACCATGGAAGAGCTGCTTCATTTCCGGAACATGTGCGGCTTGCCTGATTCTGCTAGCCCTAGTTCGACGCATCCCTCTTGGCATCTTGGAGCAAGCCCTGGACTTCGTGCGCAGACAGGGTCAGATATGCTTTTGAGTTGGTCGTTTCGGACCTTTGCAAGGAAGACCCGGAGAAAGATCCGGAGAACCTCGAACCTGAGACTTCGAAGCCTTCCCTAAGCCCTGACTTTCTCGCGAGAGGAAGAGGTCCGGTCAGAAGCAGAAGACCCTACACCCTGAACCCTAAACGGCCTTGCTTGGAGGTTCATGGGTAGCTATAAGTCGGGTTATAAGTCGGGTAACTATAGTTATATTCCATATTAGGGGGCTTATAACCCCACTTATAACTACCCATGAACCTCCAAGTGAGCTTTTCAAAGAGAAGCAGCCGGAACCCTCAGAGAGCCTCCCCAAACCCGAGACCTTGAGCCTCCCAAGCGCATGGAGGTTCAATGCTAGTTGATTTAAGGGATCTGTGAGGGTTCCTCTAAAGGGATCTATAGGGTTTCTATAAGGGCTCTAGAAGGGCTCTACTTGGAGGTTCATGGGTAGTGTTTAAGTGGGGGTTATAAGTTTTAAGTAGGGTAACTATGATAATGACCACTATCAGGGGCCTTATATCCCTACACCCTACACCCTAACCCTAAAGCCTAAAGCCGAAACCCTAACCCTAAACCCTAAACCCTAAACCCTAAACCCTAAACCCTAAACCCTAAGCCCTAAACCCTACTTAGCATAAGCCTCCAAGCTCTCCCCGGCCCGAGGCTGCCACGAGGAAGTCGAGCATTTTGCTGAGAGCACGTCTTCCGTCCACTTCGCCAGGAGCTCGCCGACACCGCCCTGGCTCAAGGCGTAGACTAGCAGGAATTCCGGTCATCGGGAGGGGAGGGTTTCTGATGTTGGGGTTGATTGCGAGTGGGTTGTGGCAGGGTGATCCGGGCCCCTGGCAGTAGCAGGCTGCTAGCGGAAAGCGAGCTCACTCTTGGATATTCTTGAGCTGCGGTCCGCACGTTGTAACCGAGCGAGACGGAGTGCTGAAAAGACCGGCGGCAAAAGGCTCAGATGCCCTGCTTGCAGCAGTTGAGGGCTCGTCAGGTAACCAGAACTGTTTTTTCAGATTTGGAACCGAAACTTAACCCTAAACCCGGTTTAGCCGAAACCCTAAACCCTAAACCCAAAACCCTCTCAAGAGCTTCAAGCAGAGCAGACAGCCTCAAGACCCGAAGGCTTTTGCCAGGAGGAGCCCAATGAGCCCAAGTACCGTTTGAATTAGGGAAGATACCACCTAAATTAGGGTTCAGGGTTCAGGGGTTTAGGGGTTTAGGTATTTCTTAATGGGCTTTAGGGTTTCGGGGGGTTTAGGGTT